AAGTGTAACTTTAGAGAGTTAAAATAGTTGCATAGCGTGTCTGATGATACTGCTGCCTTGACTTAGCTGCCTCATGATATATATTTTATATTGATCAATCAGTTAAGTCGGGGGCAAGCAGTCGGCAGACTTTGGAATATGACAGACTCTTAACTTAATTTCAAAGATCTTCTATGAATGATCATGTCAGACCTCTGATCCAATTTTTCCATTGATTTTCTGGCATCTTTTGCTTGGAAAATAGGCAAAAGTGAGTCAAAGAAGAAAGAAAGAAAATGAATTTCAGACATTTTGGGCTCTGATTCTACTCTCTACAGCAGGGGTCCCCAACCTTGGCCACTTTATAACTTGTGGACTTCAACATGGCTGGCTGAGGAATTCTGGGAGTTGAAGTCCACAAGTCCTAAAGTGGCCACGGTTGGGGACCTCTGCTCTACAGGTAGTCCTCGACTTACAACCATTTGCTTAGGGACCGTTCAAAGTTACAGCAGCACTGAAAAACAGTGATTTATGATTGTTTTTCACTGTTACAACCATTGCAGTATCGCAATCAAAATTGGATGCTTGGCAACTAGTTCATATTTAAGATGGTTACAGTGTCCCCGGGGTCATGTGATCCCCTTTTGCGACCTTCTGACTAGCAAAGTCAATAAGGAAGTCAGATTTACTTAAGAATCATGTTATTAACTTAACAACTGCAGTGATTCACTTAACAGCCGTGCCAAGTAAGGTCATAAAATGGGACAAAACTCACTTAACAATTCTCTCACTTAGCAACAGAAATTGTGGGCTCAATTGTAGTCGTAAGTCAAAGAGTATCTGTAAATACTTTATCACAACCCATTATTGGTATATAGCCCTCAATGATTGTCCTGAAGGGCATGCAGTCCCTGAAAAGAAATAAGAGGTTATCTGATTTAAACATATCAAAGTATTTTATGCAAAGTGGCCAACGGATCAGAAGCTTGCAGAGCTCATAAAATTAATTTTAAAGCAGCAGCTTAATGTTAATGGGATCTTGGGTTATTGTCTCAAGTTGCTGATCCTCTCCCCCACCCACCCTTTTTTTTGGCACTGAAACTGGGACAGAAGAAGCGCTCAAGATAATTATACAGTGTTGTGAGAAATAAAAAGGAGAGAAGGTGAGAGGTGAAGTTCTGGGCCTTTATTTGATGAGTAAGTATGTAATCATCCTGCAGTGCTAAGCAATTGCAAAAATGAGCTATACGACAATTCACTTCGCTCTTGTGAATTAGACTCCGTAACTAGGAAACATTGTACATGGTAAAAAATAAAGCTGCTTCTAAACATATTAATTTTATAGTATCCTGCCTCAAATATAGAACAAAGGCCCAGATGATGTCTTCGAGGTATAAACCGTTGCTTGTTTTTCCATATATTTTTTTTCATCAGTAGCCATTAATAATTGAGGAGAACTCATGTTAAGATTCTTATATTGACTGACAATGATTTCAGCCTACTACACTGCTAAGCATAAAGCGGTGGATTGTTGGTTCATTTCTCTGGATATTGCTGGCTTCTGGAATCTGCTTTTATGTTAGGGTTTCACGAAACAGCAAAGAAGCCATAGGGGAATTTGAACTTTTCAGGTATTGGATCATATTTTAATCAGCAATCTTAGCTATTTGGTTTACATCATTTTCTGCAACCAGCTAAGGATGTTTATATTGTATATCCTCAAAGTGCTTCTCTCCTTTGGAGTTAGCTACTTGTTATGAGGAGTGACAAATGTAAGAGTGGAAAACTTTCTAAAGAACTTTCACAGTTCTACTGTGCACTAGCTTAACCGGAGAGATGCTAAAAACTTTGTTCATTGGTAAATCCACAAAGCCATGCTCATTGAAAAACCTGCAGCCCAAAGATCTTCCCATCACCTAGAATTCGTAATAAATCTGTATGGATGACTGGTGTCCTATTTGAGGAGTGGATAAGAGATATTTATGGAGAAATGAAGAAGAAACTGTCCATTCTCCTTGTAGTAGACAATTGTCCTAGCCATCCCCAAGTGAATCATCTTACAAATATGAAACTAATTTTTTCCCTCCAAACACTACATCAAAAATTCAATCTCTCGACCAAGGCATAATCAAAACATTCAAAATGCATTACCGAGCCGTGGGTCACTGCTAAAACGCAAACCTATGGTCCATCTTCAGAAGCAGTTGTTCCCTAGGTTGACCATCTCTGTATGTTGTCCACTTTCCTTCTGTCCCTTGGGTGATAAATTTTCAGAGGTTTTACTGTATATTTGTTCCTAGATCTTTGCATTAATTTTAATAAAGTGTTCATGGTTAATAAACAATAGGTAGCACCCTTTAAAGTTTTCCGTTGCCAGCCTTCTGTTCAATTTTAATTATCTGCAGGCTGTTTTCCCATATTTTTATTCTTATTTGGTTTATATATTCAGTATTGTCGATAATCAGTTTAATAGGGAAACATATTTTCGATGTATTAAGCCATTAAAAAACAAACGAGAGGGGAGTGGCGTGTATTTGAGTTAATTCAACTTGCTCACCCATTAATATAAACTATTTGTTTTTTAATCTCCTCATCTCATATATCACAGTGGGTTGCTTCACTTTTATTATCAGGAAACTTAATGTTGTGGCCGTGACTGTAAAAGCATTTGCTAAAAATTGCCAGAAAAGAACTAAAAGTTATATTTTTCTTTTTTCTAAAATTACTTTTGGTATCAAAGGAAATTAGTGTAAGCCTTTAAATAAAAGCTACCTGAGGTGTAAAAATCTATATGACCATTAAATGGTGGCAAAGGGTATTTTGCAGCCCATATATGATAGCCCTATTTTAAATCCATCTGTTATAGTGTTATAAGTGCCACTATCAGGTAAAAGCAGCTAGTAAGGAATAACTCACAGGTGACTCTCTTCTTTTTCTTCCTGAAAAGGGTTATACCCAAAAAGGAAAGCTGCATTTATTTTCTATGTGCACACCTTATTCCTAGGAAAGAAAACATCAAGTGGATTTCTTTAGTTTTCTAAGTTGTGAGAATCTAATTGTGTATAGATTGGTATTTGGACAGTATACATTCTTTTTTGCAGCTCTGATGTTCTTGATCACTTTCATTATGTCCATCAAAAAAAAAATCTGCTATATTGTGTATCATGTGCATCCCACGCTTTAAGGTTTAAGCTACATTTATAACTACTTTTCCCCCCTTTTTTATTTTCACAATGATCCAGTGCACTCAGGACTATCCGAGGGTCATCCAGTGTTCTTGCATGGCCAAGTAAGAATTTGAATATAGGCCTTAGTATATATAATTACTGCATTCAGTCTACTATTCGACTTGGCTTACACTTGTCTATCATGTATACTGCTTATCAAATCTTCATCTTGGTCATCATATGAGCCTCCAAGAAAAATTAATTTTATCAGTAGTGTTGGTAATGGTCTATCTAAGTAATTGTAGACTCTATTCCTAGTCTTATGCATTCAGCCATTGTAGATACTGTTCCTGTTTGTTAATTAAACTTTGTTAATTAAGTTGGTCCTTATTGTAAACATGATTGTAAGTCTCCTGTCCTCTCCTGTCCTCATTTTCAGATATAATGTGTTACTGAGATTATAGGCAGTAAACCCAATGGAGTTGCTGAGATGAATTGCACACAGAAGTGTTCTTTACTTAAAATCATTTTATATCAAAGGAGAATATTGAGATCAAGAGATGTTGGTTTCCTTCAGTGGCCTCAACCTGGTTATAGGAGGAAAGACATTTTTCAGGAATAATATTTTAAAACTATGGTTTAGCATGTCCTCAAGTATGGCAGAACAATTTATGACTATAATTGTGTCTTCCTCCTTTCTTTCTTAGCTGATAAGCCAAGTATTATCTAAATGGAGGTCTTTGGGTGTAATTAACATGGAGATGGGCAGTTAAGAAATATGAAATATAAATAAATAAATCAGTTTAAAATCTATAGTCTTCTCTGACTTGGATCTCTTTTATAAGTATCATAGAATAGGCAGCTTGCATTTTAATATGTAAGGTGTTGTAGTGTTGTAATGTGCAAACTGAGAAAGAAGATAGATTTTGATTTTAGGATATATGTTTGCTGTATCTCAGAATACTATTTTCGATTTTATGTTATCATGGGTGTCTCAATTTCTTATTATTACCTGTTGTCAACTTCCATGATCTATACTATGCAAGCTGTTGCTTATCAGCATATTAAAAGGGGTTTAATAAAAGAAATTGGTAGAGTGGTATACTTACAGCCTCAATACGCTATAGTGGGAAAAATAGTAAATTTAATTTTTCATAATTGTTTTCTTCCTCAGGCTCTTGGTTTTTCTAAAAATAACAACCTGCCATTTTTTAAATAACTTGAGGTAGTTTTCAGGTCTTATTTTGTTTTTACAATGCAGCATATTATTTCTTCTGGGGAAAGTAATAACAGCTTGGTACTGCATAATCAGAACCAATATATAATGCAGAAATATGAATAGTTGTGCATTTGATTGCCTATACTTCATTGTGAAGAGTCACTTCCAGGCAACTCAATTCAGAAATTATACAATAGGCAGGTGATAGGTAAATGGGCTTGTGATTTCTGTAAATCAACAATGGAGTGAGATGCCTGAGATTTGAATTCTTGCCTAAATCTTAGACCCTGGAAACAGGTGTGACTTTCTAAATTCAACTGCTTATTGAAAGCTAAAGCACAAACATTGAAAAGAAAGCTTATCTTTGTATTGAGCTTTCTTTTCCTCCATAGTCAGTAAAAGAGTGTCAGTTCCAAACAGAAACTTACAAAGCAGGCGGGAGGAAATATGCAATTGAAGTTAGTCGATACTTATTTTGTTTTTGAGCAGCCAGTTTTCCACACTTTCTAAAGAAAGAACAAACCTTGATGAAAAGCCTAGCAAGCGGTGTTAAATTAACAGAGAAGACATACATCAAAAAGTGCAGCATCTTATTCGCAGAGATTAATTGTATCTTTCTCTTCTCTCACTGGCAGAAGCTGACAGCAATCAGAATTACGTGACAACAGAGCCTCAGCTGATCTTCTATCCCAGCGTTACCTATGCAGTCATTGGCAGCTCTGCTATTTTTGTGTTGGTAGTGGCGCTCCTTGCCCTAATTTTGCACCATCAGCGAAAACGCAACAACCTCATGACACTTCCCGTTCATCGACTGCAGCATCCTGTCCTCCTGTCTCGTCTCGTCGTCCTTGATCATCCACATCAGTGCAATGTCACCTATAATGTTAACAATGGAGTCCAGTATATGACCACCCAGGGCTATCATAGACCGCCAGATTTGGATTCACCACCATCTTATTCAGAAGCTGTGCTAGATCAGAGGTACATGCAGCAGTGGAGCTTCACCTGTGTTTTAAACCATTTGTCCTGTGTTTTTGTATACCTGATGCTTTTCTATCATGATAGCTTCCCTTAACAACTTCACCACCCTTGCTTCATTAGCATTGATTTTACTAGGTTGATGCCTCATAAACTGCTTCAATATTTAGACCCAAATTTCCTCCCTGGCTATTTACTGTCGTTAAGGCAAGTCACAATTGCTACAGTTTGAACTTCGCCACTCAGCATAATTTCCTCCTCAGTACAGGAATCCACTTTAAAGTTCTGCTGACAGAAATCTGTCTATTTTTCAATTTCAAAAATGATTCTTTCACAATTGAAGTATGTCATGGAAATATATGTGGAGTTCATTTTTTGGTCATACGTACCAATTTAGCTCATCAGAATGAATTGGAGTTTATTCAGTGGAGAGGCCATTTTCAGTTAACCTCCCCTTTTGTACCCTACTCAAGATGCATTTGATGCCATTTTCATCTCACGAAAAGATTACTTTTCACTTGTGTTTGCTGTTTTCTTTAAAAAAAAAACTGAGGCAGGTATGTACAATATTTCCAGGATAGTGAGGAACAGAGCCTGAAAAAATACACACACACTCCTGTTTTCAAACTTTACCTTCCAATGTGGGCAATTCTGCACTTCATTGGTATTGCCTGGGAGCTGTTTAATCACTATAAATAATTTAAAGCAAATGATTTTTTTAAAAAGATTGTCTTTGAGTAAACGGACAACAAGTTGCACTTCAGCATTAATAGCATCACTTGATGCGTGTGAGATTCTTACAAACTGATCACAATTTGCACTAAAGAGACAATCAGTTGTGTTTCTTAGTAACAATATATTGGGAATATATTTGAGAGGAAGATCTGGATCCATTGAGAAAAATTAAAAATCAATTTATAGTATCTCTGACCCCCCCAAAAGGGGGGGGGAGTAATGCAAAACCATGGCCACTAATAGTTTATCATTAAGTGGTGCATATATGCATTCTACAGAATTTAATTTAATTCCCCACGCTTTTAAGATGTAGCTCTTGAAAATCAATGAGAAGTCCCTTTCAACAACAGATACCAATTCAATATATTTATCTGCAGTCAATTGTAGGGATTTTTTTGTTTTGTTTTTAACAAATGAAGCCAGTCCATTAATTTCTTGGCTTTGCTGCTAAGATTCTTATTGATTTCGGTGGTGATAATGGGGATGGGTGGCTGCAGCTTGTGTAATGTTGATCAACTTCTAGTATGTCTTCAATTTGGTCCTGCAGGCCAATTTGGTCCTGTATCATTGCAACCCTGAAAGAACAATCGGCATTGTAGTGAATAAAATGTTTTCTATTCTCATGCCTTCTGTTGTAAAAAATACAAATCACTTTTATGTTTTTATATGAGGAGAAGCCATTCTAAGCATATTTTGTGAGACACAATACTTTTAAACAGAATTGCTCCTTATTCTTTCCAGTGCAAAGTAAGGTCAGCTTAACCTACAGTAATACATAACTATAAACCATTGTATCCCAAAGATGCTTTTTCACAAGGCAACTGGACTTTATTGTCTTCAAAGAAAAACAAGAAAGTCCAGTAGCCTCGTGAAAAAGCATCTTTGAGATAACTATGACCTGGATGACTGAGAATCTCCACAGACATATAAACAATCGTAATATGTTTGTGAGATGCCAGATTATATCTTCAGAAGCCTAAGTCTTGGTGGATTCCTGAGGCTTAGCTTTGTCCACCATCACTATGTGCAATTTTCCTGACCTGACAGCGGTACTTGGCCTTGGAGTAGTATACCAGGGACTGCAATCATAAAATAAAATTCCTAAAATTTAACCTACTCATTATTTTTCTCTTCCAGTAACATCAAAAATTGCAGTTTAATATTACTGAGGCCAAGCAGTACTGGGTTTAGGCTGAATGGATGTTTCTGGCTTCTGATCAAAAGTTATTTGTCGAAAGTCAACCCATCAAGTCCATTCTATTGTGACTTGGCCATTCAAGTAATAAACATTTTGTATGCATTCTTATTGTAATATGGTAATTTGAACCGGGCAATTTTCCAAGGATCAATAAATAGAAGCCACTCCCCTGATTAGTTGAAAGCTGCAAGTAATGTCACTGGAAAACACTGAGATTTATCCCCTGGATTTCCAAAGGTTTGAAGCATCTGAGGGATAAAATAATCCCATTTTCATTCTTAAATTCTTCCAGAATGGCCGTCTGGATGTCACAAATGAGATAGTGGGCAACATAAGTGTTATGAGTGGTCCATCTGTGTCTTTATAACTTGGTGAAGCAAAATTCAGATGCTGTTTATTTCATACATCTGGTAACTTGACATCTAATTTATCCTTTGCAGCAGACCCCCATGGTTTGATCTTCCTCCGCCTCCATATTCCTCAGAAACAGGATCCCGGAATCACTTAGATCTTCCTCCATATCGTTCTCGAACTGGAAGTGTGGCAAGCACAGATGCTTCAGAGGCAAGAGGTCCAGAGATTTTGGACAGCAGTCCATCAAGAAACCTTTTTACTAGTATGGAGTGTCACAGTACGCTGCGTGAAATTACAGCTGAGCAAAGTGACTCTCTGAGCAACTCAATTTCTGTCTGAACACTGTAAACAATTATTTATGCACATTTTTATGGATGTCTGCTTGAACTTCTACTGAAATTAAGAAGTCCCAAATTGTTTGGCCTTTTTCGACTTGATGATCGCAAGTGTTTTTGTGAAAGGAACAAGAGCTATGTGGATTGCCATTAAACAACTTCCTTCAATCATTTCAAGGGAGAATGAGCAAGAAGAGATGCCAGTGGCCTCAGTCGTGCTAGATTTAACTACTGAATTATGAAGGTTGAAGCAATTGAGAACAACAGTTCATTTTCACTTCTTCTCTGTCATAATATGCTGTTAAAGCCGATCAGGTATTTACTGCAATTCATGTACTGAAATCAAACCTATATACATACACATGTGCCTCAAGACATGCCTGTGTTTCAAATGATCTTTATTGCTTTAAAAAAACCTCTTATTTATGATTGTAAGAATGTATATAAAAATAATAGTAAATGAGTCTTGCATTATGCAAGTATTGAACTGTATTGCTGATGGCATCTGGAAGTCCACTTCTCTCAATAGAAAAATAAAATCCTGAAGGGTCATGGGAAATATCATCTGTACAGTTTAACCCAGGGGTAGGCAACCTTGGCTCTTTTATGACTCGTGGACTTCAACTCCCAGAATTCCTGAGCCAGCCATGCTGGATCAGGAATTCTGGGAGTTGAAGACCACGAGTCATAAAAGAGCCAAGGTTGCCTACCCCTGGTTTAACCTACGGTATATTGTGTTTAAATCACAAGCTCTGCTATGGAGTAAACTATTATTACTTCAGTAAGAAAACTTAATATTTTTTTTGATGGATAGGGTAAAAAGGATTTTAAGCCATCTAAACATTAATGGAACTTGACTAGGAGCTAGCTACTGACTAGGAGACATATCTTAGAGTCATGTTGAATGGTTCAATGAAGATGCCAACTCAGTATGCAGCTGCTGTTACAAAAGAGAATTAAATGAAAAGGAATTCCATTTTTGGAATTTTTAGAAAGGGAATTGAAATAGAATTGCTGATATTCTAATGTCCTTATATACTGTATATCCATGCTGTGATTACACTTGGAATATTGTGTGTCGTTTTGCTCACCCAACATATTAAAATGATACAGAGCTATAAAAGGACAATTGAAATGATTTGGGGGGTGAGATTGCTTTCCAGCAAGAAGAAACTATAGCTTGAAATGAAGGAGGGTAAAGGAAACAGCTAGAAGTCTACAAAATCATTCACAATATAGGTAAATGATCGGAGAGAAGTTTTCTCCATTTCTCCATGTTAGAGCTGGAGATCATTCATTGCACAAAATGTAGGGCAATTTAGGGTCATCAGAATGAATTACTCTCTTATACAGCATGTAGTTGATCTATGGAATTTGCTGCCAACAGTAACAGCAGCAATTTGAATGGCTTTAAAGGAGATTGGACAGATTCATGCAGGATCAGGCCACCAAGGTCTACCGTTATTTGTGGCCATTTGCTTTCTCCCTGAATCATCAACAATGTGCCTTATATACTGGAGGCCATCTCCTTGCAGTCCAGGTTTTGAGATTCTGTGATTTAGAATATGAGACTACATAGCCTACAGCCCGATTGAAGAAGGCTCTCATATTCATCTGGCTATCACAATGTGCCTGATTTCAGCTTTCTTTCTCATAATGAAGAATTTAAAAAGTCTACCTTGTATTCTTTTATAATTAGTATGTGTAACTTGGCGTTGTGTGAACCAGAGTTTAGCATTCTATCTTGCATAAGTGTAATATAACAATTTGGTGGCTTATTTGGTTACCTATTTTGACAGATGTAACCCCCCTCTGTGTGTGTGTGTGTGTGTGTGTGAGAGAGAGAGAGAGAGAGAGAGAGAGAGAGAGAGAGAGAGAGAGAGAGAGAGAGAGAAAGAGAGAGAGAGATGAAGGAGCATTAGGCAGTTTATGTGTCAAAATGCAGTTTTCTGGTTGTCTGGAAAATAAATATATTTCGTCTGGGCATGCTTTGAATTTGTCATTGTGAAAGAGAAGATTACAAATGTTCCATTTCCTCTCTCTGCATGTATATACCTTTGAGAGAGATTCTGAGTGCCTTGGAATTCATATATCAGTTTGCAGAGCTTATTAGACTTGTTGGGGAATATCTTTCATACTATGAAACTGAAACTTCTTATAAAAAATAGTGCCAGTTCGTGATAGCATTTCCTTGTTGAGGAATCATAGGACTGATTCATTCCTTACATAGCATGCTTATTTGCTACTTATACTTCATTATTTAAGTTGTAAGTATGAGGTGGACGTAGATACCAGCACTTCTTCCAATATATTTACAAACATGTACCTCTTTTACACACCATATCATTTATCTTTAATGTTGGTGCATTTTGGAATGGTGTGAATCAGCTTTTAAAATTATTAGCATTATTTGTATAACTCTAAAATACTGAAATAAGAATCAGATGGTTTTAAAAGCATGACAAGAAGACTGGGATTTTTGTTTGTATGTTTATTTTTACCCAAACATAAATGTAGGAGTCGTAGTTCTTATTGGGAAGATTGAATGGTCATTTTAACCCTTTGCCCACCTTTGTGTCCAATCCAGCTCAGGAGCCTAAGCCCTGACATTGTAGTTGTCAAATTTGTGTGATTTGTTAATTCATCAATGCAAATTTCAGGCTCAAGCCATCTGATCTGAACTGGCATTGAATTAGTAACAAACATTACAGATATTTCTTTCTTTTTTGAGAGAGAGTTTTATTTGGACTGAGGTGCATAATGTTTTTTGAGTAAAGACATAAAAGGCATATCAGTTACTTATATATGTAAAGTAATGTTTTGTGTGACCCTGAGGTACTATTTTATTACATTACATACATTTTGTGCACATTCAATCCATTGCCCTTTCTACAATACAGTACAATGCCTATAAGCTGTATATATGTATATTTATATTGAAATACTTCAATTTGGACTCTGAAAATAAATCCCTTTTTCTAAGTGTATCTTTTCATTTCCTGTTAGAGGTTTGAATTAATCAAGAGACCTTCTTAGAATATATGATCCTGAACATAAGCAGAGCACTGAAAGAATACTGAGTAATTATATAGCAGATCATCCCATTTGAAAGGAAAATAAATATTGCTTACAATATAGTTGTCTTGGACACGGGGTAGAGGTTTGACTTACTGTCAGTAAATGCTAATAGACCAGTATTATATGTGAAGTAAAATAGATTAAGAAATAATGAAGCAGACAAAAACTGGAATCAACCAATATGTGGGAAACTGGGAACAGGAGAGAATCAGGAGGAGGCAGTGGGGAGGCAATACCATAGATATTGTGATGGGCATAGAACATAGAATAATAGAGATGGAAGGGACCTCAGAGGCTTCTAGTCCAATCCCCTGCTCAAGCAGGAGACCCTATACCAGTGATGGCGAACCTTTTGAGACCGAGTGCCCAAACTGCAACCCAAAATCCACTTATTTATCGCTGGGTGCCAGGTGGGTGTAGCCCACTGGCTGGGCATGGCTGTGGTGGTCATAGCAGATTGGGTGGGTATAGCCAAGGTGGGCATGATTACCTCAATATTGCTTATGGGGAGGGACATCTGTGGGGGCCAGGCAGGGTTGGGGGAGATCCAGGGGGTCTCTGACAGGTGGGGCGAGGCAAGGCAGGGCAGGGCGGGGGTGCCATTGTCACAGGAAAAGGTGAGGCAGGAGCCAGGACAGTTGCTGCCTGACACCATCAGCCCCTGCACACACAGGCCAGCGAGCACATGGGTGCTGGGATGCATCCGGCTCGGTGAGTTAGTGGGTGGGTGGTTGAAGAGGGATGGTTGCCATCTCCGGGGCATGGCGCACGTGCCCACAGAGAGGGCTCTGAGTGCTGCCTCTAGCACGCGTGCGATAGGTTCGCCACCACTGCCCTATACCATTTCAGATAAATGGTTGTCCAGTCTCTTAAAAGCCAGGAAGTAGGTATGGTGGGAGTCAGGCCAACTACACTTGGAGATGCCAAGTTAAAGATCTCATACATGGCTCTTGGTATGCATTCCTGGGAGCAGGTGATCAGATTGTGGCAGCCCTGGGCTTCAGCTGTTGTTTGTGGATGTCAGATCAGCTTGTAATAAGTCCACTCTCATTCATGATCTTATTGCAAATGAGAGTCTGATCTGGCATATATAACTGATAACTGGGTAGGCTCACAGGAATATGTTCCCCCTTCAGAAATATTCTACTCAGGTTTTGGATTTTATATCAGTTGAAACTATAGGGGAGAGGTGATGGGCAACCACCATTGCAGGATTTCAGAGGGACTGTTCTACAGATAACCAGAAGTGAAACTCTCTGATTGAAGGTGGGCCTTAAGGAACAGATGGGATTCTTGCTGCTATACCATCCTGTCTCCCTCATGGTATCATCCCTGCTTGAGCTACTGAATCCCTGGGATAGCTCAGCAGGTCCTAATCTGTTAGTCTTGTGAACTTCAATTTGTTATTTGGTATAGAGATTAAGGAAATTAACCTTGATGGACATATGTAAAGCAACAAATGGTGAAATATATCTTAAGTCCAAAACAAAAAATGTGCATATGCAGCTCAGACACCTCTCTATTTTGCAGAAATATAAGAAGGGAGAGGAGGTACAGCACAATTAGACAAGCAAGATTATTATTATAGCCCTCTTTTAGAAATTAGATGGGATGCTAACTGTAAAAGATTTGATATAGTGATGGCCTATTGAGGAAAGCCAGAGGGGGGAACCTTCCCTCAATTCAGCTGAGGCCTTAGGTTCAGTCTAGAATTGGTATGACTTGGAGATCTTAGACCACATTGTTCCTGTGTGGCCTTATCCCGTGGACCTTGCTTGTCTAAGAAACTCCAGGAGATGAAAGGTCAAAAGGAATATCTAAAGCAGTATTGAAGATAGATAAAGAGCTATTTCATTCAGGTTTCTGTGGTATGGACTATGGAGACAGCATTGATCCAGCTTGATGACTTTTAGTGTAGCTGAGATGAGGTAATGCATTCTT